CAGAAACTGCTTGCACTTTACAGGGTTAATTATATAATGCATGATACTTATAAAAAAAATAAGAACTGTTTCCACGCGCTATGCCTTAGTCATGCCAGTGGTTCTTAACTATTCATTCTATATTTGGTTCATATTTAAATACTCCTGTGTTAAGGGTGCCGGCCCAGCGAGTCAGTGTGAAGGTCCTTCTACTTTTGGCCGAGCAGGTGACCTGAGGCTGCTCTTTAATTGGTTGCAGCTCTCTGTCCTGATATGCTCTCCACAGTTTGTTTAACACCTTTGCTGCTTCCCCATTGAATATAGAGCCCCCCCCCCCCTTAAAATGTTTTTGTTCCAAAGCTTTTGTTCTGTAGTGTGCAAAAGCCAAGTAAGTAAACTAGTTTTCAAAACTGACTAAATCAAAAATTGATAACCGATATCAATCATGGGTTCACTCTATATAAAATTTCACAGTATTTAAATGCACATCATGTAATTTCTGCCACTGGGGCTCTCTCAATCAAAACAATGACAAAAGTTGTATTTTGATGATGTTGTGAAGTGAGGGTTAAGAGATTAAGACAAGACGTTTAAAATAATGTAAGAATACAAGTATACTTGTAAATATAAATATAATGCTGATCTAATCCATGAATGCTGCATATTATGCTTACTGTATTATACCACATTGTACCCACTATAAATGGCACACAAATATTAGTCACAATGTGGATTTAGTCTCCTCAGCTGCATACTGAGATGGTTAACTTTTTTCCCCTAATGGAAAATTGATCAGTGCTGTGATGATGTGCATGTGCTGAACTTTTTCCTTCACTCCTTACTCAGCTGACTGACACACAGGCGTAAGAGACACTCAGACTACTTGGCTTCTCTTAAATGTCATCTCCCCCCATCAGCCAATCAAATCAAACTGAGAAGTCAGAACAGAACCTGATGCGCCAGCGATTATGAGCCGGGAGAGAAAAACGATGCAGACTCCGTCTCTCTTCTCATCCTGCTCCATCTCCTTCCCTCCGTCTTTGCCCTAATCCACTTAGTTGGCTCTTCCTGAGCTTAGAGCCTTTCCTTTATTCCATTATAAAGACCCACTGTATGACCTGCTGCTTATTTCATTAAAAAGGCCCAATCCATGACCCTACGTCTAATCCATAATGCAGACTACAGGCCAGTCACGGCCTGCTATCGTCCACGCCACAGTCCAGCAGCGTGGCTGACAGATGGGACAGAGGCAACGGGAATGGAAAGATGGAGGTCCAATGAATGAGGGAGAATTTGAGAGCTGCGCTTATGAGTGAGGCTTCCCGGTGAATATGATTTCACTGATGTAAATGATGATAGAGTTGAGGCTTTGCTACTCTATCTTTGATGGTTGGAGATAGCTTTCACATGGCCCATCAGTGATATGGAAATGGCCACATCTAAGGTTTGAATATAGCCTGTAAAATGAACATAAAGCCCAGGGCTTTTAAAACCCAAAACACCTTGGCTTAGAGTTTATACTGTAGTCAGTACTTCAGCTCATTACAGTTAACCTTGGGAGAACTTTGCAACGCAGAGTGAGTGATGCTGAATCATATAATAATATTCTATTGACGATATCCAATTTGACTTTGCCTGTAGTCCCTCTGTTTGACCTTTTCCTCTCTGTGCCCACTCCACCATCCTTGCTCCACCTCTGGCTGCCCTCTACCCTGAATGCCCTCCCACAACTTGCTCAAGATCCAGTTTGCTGAGTGTTTTCATTGCGTCCACAAATCTAAATTTACAACCTCCCTCCCATCAAACCCAGCTTGCCTGCGTTTGCACTTAATGGCGTATCAGGTTACGTATTTATTGATAAAGCAGCACTATTTAGCCCTGAGTACCTGACTTCCCGCATACCTGCGCCAGCTTTTTAGAGCCCGGCCAGTCACTCTGACAGTGCAGCGTCAGATAAAAGAGACACGTCCCATAGAGGTAACATCCTGCACTGGTTGATGGGAAAAGCTTGTTTTGCTGTCTCTGTCCAAGCTCAATTCAAGTCATTAGGAACAGTTAACTAATAATAATTACTTTTAACTGTGTTCAGTCAGAGAGCCACAGCTAGAGGCCTGCAGGGACATACAATACGGTCAGGAAGTGACTACAACCCTCTCTCCATCGATAACACCAGCATATCTCATTACCGTGGCGACCTGCGGTACACTGCCACTCGGTCTTGATCATATAAAACCCATTTCAGTGTGCCGTCCCCGCTGGAGCACCAGCGGAGTGGAATATTCATTATTCAAATTTTAAGCATTGGAAATCCCAATATGTTACTAAGGCCAGATGAGATGAGATGAAATAGCTTAGCCTTTTGTCCAGGGAACATTGACTAATCGTCTCGCTCCGCAAAATCAATTTCCCAGCCGTAAGCATCAGACACTCTTGATTGTACTGTACTGTTGAGGACCCCCCACCACTATCACCTAATACTCCTCTTGGCTGCCCAGAATAACTTATTGATTAGTGATTATGTTACGGGAGGTGTGGGTGGCCGGGGCGGAAGACGGACTGGCCTCAGTCATCTCCACAGGGCTAAATTTGGGTCCTCTGTTACCAGATCCAACACCATACTGACACTATCACCAGCTGCCACCAGCCCAGCTCTCTGGAAAGGGGAGAGAAATTAAGCGAGTTTTCTGGATGTATACTTACACAGAGAATTTTGTGAGAGCTTACAGTGTCGGGGCTGTTTCGAGCAAAGTGGCACAGCAGGGATTTGGAGTCGGATGATGAATTCTTAGATGCTGTTGCACTTGCGGACTACTAAATAAAGAAGCGTGCACAAATATTTCAAAACAAGGCTGGTGGAGTTTTGGTGGAGGTTCAGGTGTGCTGATGGACTGTTTCACCTCCGGGGTATTGGGCTGATCTCTGCCTTGCTCTCTGATTCTGTGCTGAGCCTGAAAAGTGGCTGTGATCAATACCTGCAGGCCCTCTCCACTATGCCAGAGGCTGTTTGTGCGTGTGCGTTTGTGTATGTGCTGTGTCAGCATCCACTCAGGACTTCATCAAACCCCCTCCCCCCCTCTCATACCTTGACTCCACACACACACACACACACACACACACAGACGCCCACATCGGTCAACGCCCTACTCAAACAGTTGCTTATTTTCACTTTTCCCTTTCGCACACACAAATTCACGCCTTCTTCCTCCCGTTCCACGCCATCCCAACGAGGATGTTAAATACCATACAAATGTCAGCCTGCCGTATTGATTGGAATAATAATTCTGAAAGGTAGGAAAGATGGCTTGTTGATGCTAAGCAGGTGCGTGACGGCCCGAGCATCATTCACTGTCACAAAGTTGCCATGTAAGGGTTCCCGGCCGCACCGGCAGAATGTGGATGGTGGTTTACGTTAGACCACCGAGGCCGTGTGCTTCTGCCATTAATCATTGTCTTCACAGGCCAGTGACAGGCAGACCAGGATTCATGCTGGGAGAGAGAGGGGGTCATTTTATATGCCCTCAGATCACACTGGCTATGTGGGAATGTGTGTGCATGAATGTCAGACCAGAGGGTATGTTCATCTCCTCCGTATCTGTCATGTCTGTGTGCAGAAAAAGACAGAAGTAATATCCAACTACATGCTCAAAATAAGACGTTCGGTTTCATTTTGGATCCGCTTCCCGGTCCGCAGAATACTTAAACTCATTAAGTGCCGATGCTAACAAATCTCTTATCAAACCGTTTACTTCTGCACATTATTTTTTATTAGCAAAGACAAATGGAGAGGATGTGCAATTACAGCTTGCACTTTGTCATTTATAGCCAGAGCTTTCTCCGGTTTCTTTTCTTTTTTCATTTAAAATGACAGTTTAATGATGTAGCTGATTGTCATTTGTGGTGTGTTAAATATAGGAGATCCCATGTAAAGCTTTCATGCACCCAATCTGTCTCTTAAGCTGCCTAATTTCCCAGTTTTCTATAGGACCTGCAAAAAAATTAATCAAGAAGTGTGAAAAATCAGCATGTATGTAAAAGTCAGCAGGCGCCAGATGTTAATGTCAACCAGTCAGAGCAATCGATACCAAACAGCAATCAACATTTCATATCGTTGGTGGCTGTAGCTGCGGCTAGCTTAATTAGTCTTAATTAACTTAGTAGCTAGAAGTTGACTGATTATCAAATCTGATAAAGGCATATTTCTAGCTTCAGGTAATGACAGATTTACACTGAAGGAGTTATTCACAAATTTAGTTAGAATGTTGAAAGCTTAGTGAGATTTGATAAGTGGTTCAAAAGGATTTAAATCTGATAACCAATGCTTAAACTGAATTTGGATTTGATATATTCTTACTGAAGATCTAAAAAACATGTAACTGATTTGATTTGTCGTGCCGTTTGTGGTGGTTCGTAGCATTTTAATCAGTGACAGTGTCGCAGTTACGCCAACCTTTGCTCGAATCCAGTCAATACTTTTTTTTATTTTTTATGTGTAATTAAACAAATTTTAGAGTAGAACTACTGTGTCAAGATTCAGTTCAACCAAATAATGATAAAGTACAAATTTTGAACCAAGCTTTAGCTGTATTGAGATATGCAAATGGTTTGTTTTAGCTGTTTGGATGTCCTGCTGTGAGATTTCTGTTCCTATCCTGAAATATTTTTTGTGCTTCTCAAATAGTCCATATGAAAATCCTTTATACTATAAAAGGCACTAAAGAAGTTAATATTCCACATTTCCAAAGAGAGATGTTTGGTTTTTATTACCTTCTGATTATTATTTAAGGATAATCATTTATTTGGGTAACATGGCTTCCATTTCGTATCCCTGTACTTTGGCCATCACTCCTTTTAGATATGCTTCTCTGTGTGAAGCAAATCTTTCAGTACTTATTTTGAAATGTATGAGATTATTTTTGTAAGGTTGTTTTCTTGCATGAAAATGTACTTTTTATATTAGAAGGTGTGAATGTGTGAAGACAGCACCAATGCGTGTCCCTTGTGAAGTCAGCAGTGGCTCTCACCTGGCAGGTACCTCGATGTTGGAGATGGCATAGAAGTACTTGAGCAGGTTGTCTCTCTGGACATAGGTGCCTCCGAGGGCGGGCCTGAGCAGCCTCAACCTAAGGTTGGTGAAGGTGAAGAAGTCCCTCAATCCCTTCATACTTTCCATGCGGGTGTACAGGTTGTCCATGTTCTCTAGCCGAACCCCGGCAAACACAACAAAGCGTGCCCGTACCTCAAACTTCACATTCTTTTCGTTTTTGGAGCCGACCCAGCGCGAGTACTGCTCAGTGCAGATGACCCGTGTGATGTTGGCGGGCGAAAGGTCACGCACACGTTTGGGTGGCATGTTGAAGGCATCCAAGCAGTCGTCAGCGTAGAACTGGAAGGGCTGCCAGGAGCGTCCGTAGTCCATGGACTTGTCCAGTACCATGATAGTAGGACGGCCATATTCAAAGGTGATCAGGATGTCGTCTGTGAGCTCTAAACTCTTGTTCCAGGACATGCTGATGTTGGCCAGCAGGGGCTCTGGGTGACGTCTCCAGGTGACTGTCTGCCAGTAGGTGATTAGGCCATTGCGTTCACGGTCCTGCATCAGCTGAGGAGGGTGGGCCAAGTCTGGATTAGAGGCATCACACTCGTCACTGCACAGGTATGGGTTCTCCTGAAGGAGAGACAAAGACAGAGAAGAAAGACGTCCATCAGGGTTTGAAAATAACTTTAATGATAGTATAGAATTCTTTATCTTTATTTAAAATTCTTCTAAGAGCCATCAATTAGGATTTAGATTACACCATGGCAATACAAATACAGGAAAATGACAAATGAAATCAATTAAATGGTTGTAACCAGGTAATGGACCATTTGAAGTGCATTTCTAAAGTTTACAGGAGAAATAAGATTAGTCAGTTTTAGGTCACATTGCAAAAGATTCTGTGAGTCTGCGGCACTGATATTAAAAGCAGTCCTTCCCAATCGGTCCTGGCACAAGTCACATGAAGAACCAGCCAATCACTGGCGCGACCTAAAAGTGGACCACCGTTCCTATGCGACATAGATGTAATGTTTGATGGTCATTTTCCAACCAGAAGACCAACCAGTTTTATCATAGCAATACAGTGGCGAGTATGGTAGCCATCACCCCTAATTAACATCAGTGATGAGATGTAAACAGAATATAAGAGCCTTAAGTGTGACGCGGCAGCAGGTCTGTAAATTAGATCCTTATAGTCCACAACTGGTAGCAAGTTGATTCAACAGCACTCTTTCTACAAACCAAAGAAAAGCTGGTTCAATTTCTGGATATTTTTAATTTATTTTTGTTTTTTTGTAGTTTGCCAACAAGGTTCTTAATGTGGTATTTAAATTAAATTTATAATATACTTACATTCTGTAACCCTTGGAAATATTTCAATCATTAATGGTAAAGATATACATATCACAGAGGTCTGTCTTTATGGATTTTGAAAAAAAAAGACAGATTTTAATTTGTATCGGTTTAATAGGAGAATGCTGCCGTGCATGTCGGCAGAGTTGTAGCAGATGGCTGATCATCTGCGTAAAGAGACAATTTCATTGATATGATTAATACATGACAATACAGCGCGCATACCCAAAAACTGCAGTTTATCAAAGTGCTACAAATTAACTGAATACACTGAACATGGCAATTGCCTTTGCTTTGCTCATTTGGTCGTTCATCCTTGCACAGACTTTGTCAAAATTTATCATAGCTAAAAAAAAAAGTTAACAACTGACAATAAAACAAAATGTCTCAGAGCTTTTAGGTTTTAGCAGTAGTTGCAGTCATTATCAAAGCCAGTGGGAAGTATGTTTAAGTAAGAAACTACAATTTGTGTTTTCAATCTTCCTCTCTGTGATTTGTAGGTGTTTTAATTTTTTCAGTGCAAATGCTGATTTAAAAAATATGCACTTTCTACAATATCAAAAAACATCTGTACTGTTCCTAAAAAAGAAAGTGTAAATCTAAACTAGGAGCGCCTCACCAAGGCGCTAAGGGACAGAGAGCTTAAAAGTAAACTTGCCAAACAACACAACAGGAAGTGTGAAGGTCAAGAGGATCGTGCATCATCACTGTCTTTGCATAGACAGCAGAGTGCTGCTGCACTTTTAACTCCAGAGAATTGATCCTCCTCTTCTAGTGATGCCAAGACTTTCAAGCCGCTGCCCCTCTACACAACTAAAAGTCAACAGGATTATTCACACAGCTCACCGAGAGAGAAAGCCTCTTTCCACCTGCACTAAGAAATGCCTTTCACTTTGTTAGATCAAACACCTCTCATCTTCCTTTTCTACCAGGAAGACAAATTTATCCTCCGCTTATTTAGACTTGCAAATCCTGGAAAAAAAAAAAGTGTGCTACTACGTTAATATTGTACTGAATGGTTTTCCCTGATGCATTGCGGTGACAAATGTAGTTGTTAGCTAGATCACGTTCAGAATGTACGTTTTATTCAGTGAAGGAAGCGTCATATTTAACAGGGAGGTGGTTGGGGTGGATGGTAGGCTTACAAAGCACAGGACCCCCAGGGATCAGATCCTGACTCCTGTCTGTATTTAGCTTGAGGCTACAAAATCACTTTGGTTATGGTTGAGGAAAGACTGCGGCTTCAGTTAAATGTGAATGTGTTTATGTGATTCAAATCACTGCGGGCTTTTTTCTGTATTAAACCGAACCACACGCTTTCCCTCACCTTAACCAAACGCTGTGAGTGCATAGACATAAAAAATGTATGACGCTATGATCACAATGTGGGTATTGTTCTGCAAGCTGGGATATTTTGCAGAAACCGAATGATATGTTGGCTGTAAACATTCTTGGTGTGTTAAAAACATTGCCTTATCAAGTTAGTAGAAAATATAATCTGATTGACATGATTTTTTCCTTTAGAACATATTTGCTGTTGCAGATTAGTTTTATATAAATTCAATGTCTGGGGGACAGAGTTGGCATCGACTTGAATTTTTATAGCATCACCAAAGTTTCAAATAAGTGAATACATTTCCAGGAATCCCGAATTCTACAGTTGCTGCCTCCTCATTGAGACATTTGCAGACATCTCACTAAAACTGATGAAGCTGACTGTTGTAAGCCAGTTGTCTGACATCCCCATCACCACAGAAGTGGAAATATTTACACAAAGAAATCCCAGAGATCCTCAGTCGTCTCTCTTGGTGCTTAATTTGCAAAGTTCAGCTCCAGTGCTGTTTGGATTGTATCAGATTCAGCAGGCTCGTCGTGCCCCCTAGGATGTACTAATTAGACAGATAATGGTTATTATTTTCTCCAGTATTTAGTCACAGTCATCATTGTATCAAAGGGGTCAATTTTTTTTTTGCTGTAATTCTCCAAGTTTTCACTTTATCAAAGACAGCTCCTGGCTTCTTTCTTACAAAAATTCAAATCCTAAGTGTCTCATTTCCATCATGTTTACTTCTTATTAGCTGCAATAATTGATTTGTTATATTTTCAAAAAAAAAAACAACCAAACAAAAAAAGAAAAAACACTTCATATACTTTTAGGTGGAGAATTAGCTGCTGGAGCCTGTGAAGTTTTCTCCTGATTGTGTTTCCACCCTCTCCTCTTCTGTTTTCTACACTTGTAGCAACTGATTAAATTTTATAGCTGATGTTATCCTTCTTCTTTTATATATTGGGAATCCAATAGTCTTTGTGAATTTTACGGCATTACACTTAACGAGCTCTTGATGGAGTCGAGAGTATAAATATCCTTCTTTTTTTCTTCCACCTCCACCTCCTCCTCCTCCTCCTCCTCTCCTCCTTCGTCCCCCGTCTTCTTTGTTTTGTTCTTATTTTTACTTTCAGCAGTAATACTCCTTCTAATTGTAGTGTTTAAGAATGTCACCGGCTCATCTCTGCCGTGTGGTAAAGTAACGGTAATTGTGTTTACAGCAGCAGCTCCTGGAAAACAGAGCCACGTGAATAATTATTGTGTAGATATTTAAATATTATAGAACAAAGAACAAATGATGAGCCGTAGTGAGAGTAAAAATAGATGACGTGAAGATGCAAATCTAAGCCCTGGTGGTAGCAAATATTAGGAGACCTTGAGCAAAGCACTAAAACTTTAACATTTGACTTGCATGTGAAAAGACAGTAAATAATAGTTTTTAGGATAATATTGCAGAATGTATTTTGTTATCTGTGTGTTATCAAACTTGTAAAAAGTACACTAAAGGTGGAACTACAGAGTCAAAAGGTGTTAAAGAGGAAGACACACAGTATTAGATCACATGTACACTCAGAGCAGGAGCAACAAATGAGAGGATTTAAGGATTTACTCTACATCGCCCATATTGTTTAGGCTTTCATTTTAATTGGAATTTTAAAAAGAAAAGCATCTGTTTTTCTGACTGACATGCTTCTCTGCAAAAGATAAAATCAAAAATGAACATGCAAAGTTAAATCCATTTTTTTAATATATAATAATAGATAATAGAGACAAAAAGAAAATGAAACTGGATCAGAAAAGTAATTTAGCTGCTGTTAGATGAGGCACATCACAGAGATCATATCATCAGGAAAAATCAGTACCACGTTTATAAATGCAGACAATAAAGATGAATGGAAACTAAATCAATGGACCTCGCTAAAAAGCTTTCCTCAAGTTGTAAGAAGTTTGATGAATGGCTTTTATTCTGAAAGTCATAAAGTTCCAGACTTGGTATGTAGTGGTTTGATAAATAGAAGTTCTGATTGTGATGTACTTGATTTATGTGCATTTTCCTGGAGGAGCACCTAAAGAAGACTAGCTAACATTTAAATTACTCAAAAGTCACTAAAGACGGGTCTTAATGTGCGATGATGAAAACTGTGGCAATACAGAATGAAATGCTTCATGCAAATCCAGTTCACGCTGTGATCAAATAAGCTTAAACTGCTGCCCATGTAGCTATTTATCAAATTTAACTTATGACTAGATATTGAATTTACACTGTGAACATAAATTACCCAAACTGATTGAACACTAATATGCAGTAATGTAATACTGCAACTGCTTTAAGTTCAGCGCGGCAGAGTTTGATTACCGAATGACTTTTAAGTGATTTCATCCAAAATTAGTTTTTTTGACTATCAAACACTGCCCCCCTGCAGGCTTTAAAGGGTGGCTGTAAATAGTTTGTAGTTTCATCCTTGATGGAAAATGGCGGCCGAAGTCAGCAGGACGCTTTAACATGTTCAAAGCAACGCACAGGCCTGCTAATGAGCTTGATAGCGTTGTGTGCGAGATGCAAATTTGGCTCAGAAGTGTGGATGTTTGTAACATACTGAGCATACAGATGGAGACGTGGGTTTTATTGCAAAAGTTTCTTTGGATGTTTTAATACTTTTTTTTTTCCTGCTGCAAACATGTTTAAACTTTCCGCAGCCACCTTCTTAGTCCTGCAGAGGCTGATTGGTCAATACTCAAAAGATTTTGGGTGGAGTATCACATGAAACAGCAGTTTCTTCTTTATGATGTAACGCGAAAGCAATACTGCACAATATCGATGTACTGTGCAAGCACAGATCATGTGTCACTGCTTCTTTGCAGACGTTTACTTTTTTCACATCTATTGCCAAGAAGCTGCATCTGTTCTCCCTTTTGAATAAAGTCACTGGACTGTACGACGGGAAAGTGA